GAGGGAAGAAATCAAAGAAGAAGTGAAGATAGTCAGGGAAGAGATGCTACAAATTACCCAAGGTTTAGAAGAGAAAGTAGAACAGGTCAGAGGAGAAAGTGAGAATTTTAAGAGGAATTTACAGGAGGAGATATCCAGAGAAAAGGCCATAATTAGAGCGGAAATAGGACAGGAAATTGGGAGCAGATTTGTAGAGTTGGGAACAGCCATTAAAGAGAATTTACCAATGGAAATAAACAAAGAAGTTAATAAGCAGAATAAAGAGATTGTTAGGGAGGTAGAAAGTGTTAAAAGGCAAACTCAGGATTATGAGAAAAAAATTACCATTATAAAAAATAATATAAAGAAGGGATTGCAGAATTTGGAACTGGAAATGGGTATGCATGCAAATCAGGCGGAAAAGGGAGATAGAGTATTACAGGGACAAGTTGAGGAATTGAGAGAGAAATTTAAAAATGCAAGTGAGGAGATTCAGCGTTTGGAATCAAATCTAGGACAAACAAGAGTAGTGAGTACTGTGGTGCCGAGTTATAATGATGGGGGAATAAAGTTTGATGGAAACCTGAATCACTTACATCCTAGAATATTTGTAGATATCATCAAAAATAAGGTAAAGAATGTAAGGGATCCAATAGAAATGAAATTGAATATTCGAAACATATTAGTGGGCATGCCATTATTATGGTTTTGCAAGAATGAAAATCTGTGTGGAAAATTACTTTTGCCATTTGAAGGACCTTATGTCATTAGTACTGAACATGGGGTAAACAGTTATGAACTAAGACATCCAGAAACTAATAAAATTAGAGGGATATTTAATATAGAGGGAATTTATAAGTATTATGAATAAACATACAAGGGTAGGCAATATTATGACACGAATTTTATATTATTAGATATAAGTTTTGTAAATAGAAGGATAATTAATACATAAGCATATCTTGAGATAAATTTGATAATAACATGACTCAAATAATTTATTGGGAACAGATGTACAGAATAATGATGAATTTATATATAAAAAAAAAGAGGTTGATTTATTTTCAAGTAAATTTATAGGAGTTACAAGTATAAATAAATGAGCAAAGTACTATGGACAAATCGATATTTTGTAGAAATTGGGAAATAGGGAATATTATAATGATAAATAGTATATGTGAAAATATGTGGGAAATAAGATGAAAAATAGAATTATAGGAAATATTGAAATATGAAATATAGAGAGTTATATGTAGAGATGATGAAATGGATATTATATGCGGATACAAAAAGAATAAATAATAATGCGGCAATGAATAAAGATACTGAAATAGTATATGCGGAAATAAATGAATAAAGATATAAAATAAAGAGGGGAACAATTATAAGAATTTCTACGAAATTAGTACGAGAAATAAATAGTACAGGAAAAGAAGTAATGAAATTGGGAAAGTACTTGGAAATTTGATTCTGAAGTTGATATAATTAGTGAAAGATTTGTAGATTTTGTTTGGAGAAGTCTGTATTTTTCATAGAGTAAATTATTAAAAAAAAAAATATTCAAGAGATATGCTTATTAATAAAAGTCAGTTTATTGTTATGTTAATATTAATAAAATGTTTAAGTTTATCGGTAAGAATTTAGATTTAGTAAGTGCTGATAGTTAGCACTGAACAAAATCCAAATTGGGGGGAAGTTGAAATGATTTCAATATGTCAAAGAGGATATAACTTAAAGGGATTTTTATATGAGTTTGTTGTTCATGAATTTCATGAAGCCATCACAATGTGGGGTCGACTCTGAAATAAAAGGGAGAAAAGATTAGTAAATTGCTAAATAAATTAATTTTGACTTACCTGGTATAGTGTTAATAATTTCTGAATAGTATAGTTGCCTAGTGTATAGGTGAATCGTCTAAACCTTAAAAGGAATAAAAAAGAAGAATTCTTAAAAAATTATTTAAACATAGAAATTTTAAAAATAAACGTCAGAAAAATAAACTGTCAAAAGTCTGTGGGAACTAAATTAATAGGGGTTTTGTTAAATAAATTACAATGATGTGGAGATGAAAAGAATAAATTATATTAGTATTGTTAAGTTTTATATCTGAATTTTTTTTTATAAATTCCCAAATTAGATGTGATTAAAGTGCTTATGAGAAATTAATGTGGTTTGACAAATATGTCAAAACAGGACAGTTTTATGGTTGAATAAAATAGAAGACGGAATGAAAAAAGAAAGGGGGTTGCTGTTAGCAACGAATAATTTTGGTGGTTGGTGCTAGCTATGGCGGTGAACAAGGAAGAATAGGTTGTTGGAGGCGACGAAAATTTTGGAGGAAGAGCCCTAAAAAGGTGGAATAGTCCGGGAGTGCTTTAAAATCGTTTAATTATAATTTAGTTTTTCCACATTTTCAAATAGAGATATCCAGAATTTGTTCCAGAGAGTAAGAGAAATTTTGACTTATAAATTATAATTGGAGTGCAGAAATGTCATTTAGATTGAAAAAGTAAAAATTCATGAATTAACTAATTGCGATAGGCCTTAAAAATTGAAATATTAATGATCATTAAAATAAAAATATAATAGTACGTACCTTTAACTTCCGAAGAGAGGATAGATATTCCAGTATCACCGATTATTTTGCGAGTAGTTAGTTTTCTTTAAAAAAAAAAAATCAGAACTGTTTGAAAGTGAGTTTGGATAATAATTTTGGGGATCATTTGAAATTTTGATTATATTTTAATGCTAGTTATAAGTCAGCGGCATAAAGTGTTCAGTTTTCTTTTCTTTATATTTCATTTAAACACTTTATAAAGTTGCAATAGTCATTTAGATTTAAGGTAATTGTAGAGAGTTTCCACATTTTGTAATCAAATTCTATTTTCACGACACATTAAGGTTTACACGATTCCTATTTTTGTAAATTTTTAAAGGCAACCCAAGTTGCAGACGAATTTTATTGTTTATATTAAATTTGTTCAATATTAATAAATAACGTGCTTCATTTGGGTTAATTTATCAAAAATATAAAGTAAATTTTGGTTTAATTTCTTTTTGAACTCTACCAGGAGACTACAGAGTTGACGTCACACAGTGACAGATTGCTTAGAACAAATAATTGAGCTAGCCGAGGTATAGTATATTAACAACGAACTACATACTTTTAAAATTCACTTCAATTCAATTAAAATTATATTTATTAACAATAAAACATAAAAATAATAAAAACAAAACTATTACAATATTTATTTTATTGTCAACTTTGGTCAGATGGACGTGATTTTTCTATTGGTGTATTTAAACGAACTGTAACCGTATTATTTAACGTATTTACATTTTCTGAAGGTACTATTTCTAATTTATTCTTATTTAAGTTTATTACGTCTATATCATTTAATTCATTGTCTTCATTTCTTATCTATAATATTCTCTCAAATATTATAGTCTATAAATTCATTGGATTCGTTTATTTCATTTGAGGTACATCCTTCTTTGGGTCGTTATTTATCATTTTATGCTGTTATTTAATGTTATTTGTCCGTCACGTTTATACATAAATGTAATTATTTGACCACACTAATTTAAACACTTTATTTCGGCAGTTTATCCTATTATATCAATAGTCTTTAAAAGGTCTTTATAATATTTGCAGTTAAGTTTATATACAAAAAGGGTGTACATATGTGAAATTATTAGTACAATTTTAGTGTATGTGGACTGTATTACATAGTGCTGGTTCAAATAAATTAGGATATATAGTAAAAGGTTATACAGACAATAGCAAATTAAGTTTATATACAAAGTCTTACCAATTATCCGGGCACCGGTTTTTGAACACGTGTTTCGCAGTACTAACACTGAACGGTATTTTTCGCATAACTAAAAGCGGGAGAGAGATAGTTAGTTAGCGACAATAGAGAGTGTCTCTTAAGCGATAGATAACAGCCAAGAGGGCGACTGTTGTTCACGATAAGCAAAGGGTAAGAGAGAGAGAGAGAGAGAGAGAGAGAGAGAGAGAGAGAGAGAGAGAGAGAGAGAGAGAGAGAGAGTGGTCTGGTCTGCCTAGCGAGACTCAGGCGACTGTCCTCAGGCGACTTTCCTCAAGAAATAATTAAAATCTAGAGAAACTTAAGTCTAGAGAAACTCTATACATATTTGGCTGAAAGCGCCACTATTGGTTAAAGGGTAACCTTGCTTTCTTTATTAACCTAAGGTATTCGCCATTAGGCGTGGATACGCCTGTTTGAGCAAGAGAATCCTTGCCTGGGAGCAAATTGATTAATTTTGCCAGAAGCCAAAGGAGTGGGGGAGTCTCTTGATTCTTGATTACTACCACATCACCTACCTTTAAAAGATCAGTAGCGATGTTCCACTTAATCCTACTTTGTCGTAGTAGCATATTAGATACAAGCAGTGGAAGCGTCAGGCATCTGAGAAATGGAATTTTATATATTGATTGGAATGTATCCAATAATGATTTCCAATCCGAGCTCAATAGGTCATCCAGTATATCACTGTCCCAGTCTAAAGGCAATGACAAGAGATTTAAAAAAAAATTGTGTGCTTTATTGTGTGTATTGTGTGTATAAAAAATTGTGTGTATATAATTGTGTGCAAAGAGTGTGCTTTAAAAGATAAGAGTTTTCCTAAGGAGTTATGCATTCGAGAAACATATGCACATAACTTTCTTTTTGTTCAGGGAAGCGCCTCTTCACAAAGAGGCAACTTAAAAGAGAAATCGTCTTGATAAGGTGACCTGTTAATACCTAGGACCTTAGAGAAGCTATTAACAAAATCAAGATTAACTTTTAAAGTGGAGACCATATTATATTCATTTGAATAGGCACGAGAAGTTAAAGCACTGTACTGAAATCCTCTCGTGAATTTGTCTATAGTTTATTATTACTACATCTATGGAATTTCCTATTCGCATAAGAATAATTAATTCTATTTCGTACGTTAAACACTAGATGGGGCATGTTTAAAATACATACATATAATACGTCTTAGAATACCAAATGCATTGGCAGATGTACAAGTATGCGAGTCACCAAAAAAGAAAGAAGAAGTACGACTTAGAATGTAGTAAGTTGTTTCTTTTAGAATCACTATTGGCTATTACATCATTCCAGGCTTAGTGCCTAACTACACCTACTCAGAAAGATGTTTAATTTCAATATCATACTTATACTTACATTATTTTGCTATGATGTTTAAATAGAATTAGACAACATTAATCTATAATACATTATTGGTGCTAATAGTCCTCCTGGCCAATCATCTTCACCTCTCTATTATATGTAAAATTTTATATTTGTACATATTTGGAATACCTTGTTTAATATGAAATACTGATACAATGAGTCAATAGAACTCAAATGTAAATGCAAATAAACAACTTAATGCACTAGATAACAAATCCTAACAATATGTTCGTAATTATAAATATATCTAATTCAATTATTCAAGAATGGATTTTTTCAAATCAGTAATGCATTCTAATTAAAATAAGTAGTATGCAAAAAATATTGTATTACAGTGTAAACCAACACATTTTATTAAAAACGAATATTTTGTAGATTGTATATTACAGATTTTAAAGACGTCATTTGACCTCACAAACCTTTCTACACTACCATGCGATCAAATGCGAAGGTTCAAAAAAGGCTAATAGTTTGCGAATAATTACCCTGCAGTTCTTGGTAATATAGGATATTTCTTCTACTTTTAGGCAGAATCTGAATTTTACTACTTGTCCATTTGCAAAGATGATATCACAAAACAACTGTGATTACTATGAGTTAAGTATTCTAAGGATTTAAAAGTACTTTTGGGTAGTGGACAGAACGGTGTTATAACCTTTTTGCTTTCGTTTGGTCTGAAATATTTCCCAGTAGGCTTCACTTCTTTTCCCATTTTCGGACATTTTCCATAATGTGGCTTTTCAGGATACTGTAGAATGGTAGAGGTTTAATAAAAGAGTACTAGCTGCTTCTTTAGCAAGAAGATTAGCAATCTCATTACCAGCAATTTCTTTACAACCTGTTGCCTATAACAAAGTTACTTTGTTGTGCTTTGTCAGTTGTTTAAGGAACTATTTGCAGTTCTAAGTTGTTATGGACAACTTTAAAGTATATCGAGTACAGGTTGTCTGCCAGAGGCAAGAAACATGTGAGCCAAATTGTGGAGGAATGTTTAGCATTACCTGTAAGGCTACGGTGGGACATGATCTCAATTTACCCGTAATTCCTATGTAAGAGAGTATTTGCACATTTTTCAACTCTATTATTGGCTTGCTGCATTGCTTTATTTCTCAAACTGATCGCTGACGCCAACTCATGTCGCTTGTGTTCCAGAAAGGTCCAACCCAATAATAAAATACATACTTTACAAAAACTTTACCGGACTTTTACCTCCCTCCAAAAACATGGTCAATCTTCGACATCGAGACATCGAAATTGCGCAAACTCCCCTCACAAACGAAATAGAAGAATTTCTACCGAATGTAACTTTGCTCGAATTGACAAGTTTGTCTATCTTTTCCTATTGCTGTAGCGTTAATAAATTTTAATGAGATGTTATTTCGATGAGATAAGACTTGTTAAGATCTTTAACAATATAAGTCATTAGATTTCTATACTTGAGGTATTACTCATGTTGTAACTAGATGATTGACACCTTCTTCTAAATGTGCCTATTTTCTAAAGATATTGGCGACCACATTGACCAATCTTATTCTATTCACAGCAGGTCGAAATACATCAGTTAACGTTAGACCAGTCCATTTCCTAAGATTGGCCAGCCAGGATATACGTCTACGTCCAGGGCCTCGCTTGCCCTCAATCTTGCCTTGTAGAGTCAACTGTACAAGTCGGTATTTATCATTACGCATGATTTTGCCGAAATAAACCAATATTCTTTTATTTTATGGTGTTAATAATTGCTTTGTCTTTTCTTAGCCTCTGGAGAATAGTTATGTTATTTGTGTGGTGTTTATATGAGACCCTCAACATACGTCAGTAGCACCACATTTCAAATGCCTCCAATCGTTTTATCTCATCTTCTGTAAGGCTCCAGCTTTCTACTACACTAAAGACGTAAAATCTAAGAATTCTTATGGATACTTAAAGATAAGTTGCAAAGAATCTTCCAAAGGCTGTTGAAAGAGCTTCTGGCATTTTCAATACGAGTTTTTATTTCGTAGCTGTGATCCCAAGTATCTTTAATATTGCAGCATTTTATTATTTTGAAATATAGGTTAGGATAAATCTCATTTTAAATATCTTTTCTGGTGATGTAGCCGAATACCACATCCCTGTTGTAAGAGGGTTGGAAAATAGCATCCTCTTTAGAAGACTTATAAAGCTAAAGTCTATTATTTTTTAGGATTCTGCGAAGTTAGCAACACTACTGGTCAAGGTTTAACGGATTTGATATTAAATTTTTTAAAGGAATCTAAGATTAATACTGCCGATAAGCGAGGCCAGGGTTATGACTATGGTGCCAATATGAAAGGCAAACACAATGACTTACAAAAAAAAATCTTAGTTACTAATCCCAGAGCCCTTTTTTGTCTCTTGTGCCTTAAGCCTTACACAGCCTTAATTTAGTCGTGAACGATGCAGCAAAAAGCTCGCATGAAGTTACCAATTTTTTCAGTATTATTGAGGAACTATGTGTCTTTTTTTCGGCATCAACATATCGATGGAATATTATTTTAAAAGAAGTGCCTAGGTTATTGCTAAAACCGCTCTCTGATACTCGGTGGGAGAGTAGAATTGATGCCGTAAAGACTCTTGGTATAAATTGGAAAAAGTTTATATTGCACTGTTCGACCTTTATAATGATACATCTAGAGATAATGCCATAAGGAATATTGCAAGTTCCCTGATAAATATAGTATAAAAACTACTATGAACCAATCCAGGCTTACAAATTTAGCTATAAGTATCGAGGAACATGTTTGTTATAATTTAGATGTGACTGACCTAGTTACGGAATTTGCATTTAAAAAGGCAAGAAAGTCGATTTTAGTATTTAGACGTGTATACCTAACTATATAGTGTTGTATTTCTTTTTTTTTCGTTATTTTACTTTATTTTTCGTAAAGTAACTATGTAGATTTTTGTATTTTGGTTACACCAAATTATATTTACGTACATAATATTTTGTATATCTAAGCTCGTATTTTTGATATAGTTATGTACCTATTCGTTGACTTAGTAAATATATTTTTATGATTTAAATGTTCAAAATTGTGGTTTTATTAATTTTCCCTAATTTGCGATGTTTTCTCATATACATTTTCCAAAACGGCGATGAGGCGGCAAAGGTTCTTGCACCCGGGCGGCAAAACCCTCTAGACTCGGCCCTGATTGGTAGCGCATGCTAATCTTTTTTGTTACTTTTAAAGAATTGAAAATTTTATATAAATTGATACTTACCCTTAATGTTGTAGCCATATTTAAAATACTTTGTACAAAAAACTTTTTGAACTTGCATTTATATTGTAAACTAAAACTTAAAATTATTTTCACTATTGCTGAATCAATTATACAGAGTTCCAGAAATATGGAAATCTTTCTGCTTGATATGAATGATAATAAAATTTTAGGAAATATCTAGTAAGTAGGTCTAACATACATATAATTTGGAATGATTCAACATACGTACGCGTAATAAAGTTATAACATAATGGCTGAAACGTAACGAGCTGAGCGGAATCTTTTCTGATAGAAAAATATCAGTATTGAACATTTATCACCGTTTTTAAGGTACACTGTAATTGTTCATCGGATCAATCTGATCTGATCACAATTCCGTAGTAGGAAAATTAAAAATTAAACATGAAAAGATTAGAAATTGAAAATTAAAAGAAAATCCATTAAGAAAATCGATATAAACAGCTTAAAACAACCTAATGTTAAACTAAAAGTCACAGAAAAATTAAATGATGTAATAGCGGATATCACGGCAAGATCTAATCAACCGGTCAGTATAGAAGACAGTTGGAATTGTATTAAAAAAGCTATCGTAACCACCACCAAGTCTCTGATCTATTCCCAAAAGTACAAAAAGAATAATTGGATGACGGATGAAATATTATCAATGATGGACGACCGCAGATCATTTAAAAACAAAGACCGAACCAAACATCAGCAGATTATCCGACAAATGCGAAAAGAGTGTCGCAAAGCTAAAGAACAGTGACTGCTAGACATGTGTACAGAAATGGAGGAATTAAAAGAAAAACATGACCACTTTAACATACATAAACTCGTTAAAAAAGTGACAGATCATACAAAACCTTGTAGTTTTAACAGTATTGTGAAGGACAATAAATTAATTACTGATCCCAAGGATCTACTTCAACATTGGTGAAACTACACACATCAACTATACTCAGACAACACTAGAAGAAACTCTGAAAGTGAAAATTAAAGTGAACCTTCCCCCAAAATATTGAAGTCAGAAGTTGTAAGGGCAATCAAACAGAGCAAATGGGGAAAAGCACCAGGCCCAGACGACATATACATAGAGGTTTTAATAATGTTGAGTGAAGACAATATAGACGCCTTGGTAGATCTTTTTAATGACATTTATGGGCCCGGTCAAATAACACAAGATTGGTTTCAATCAACCTGTATACCAAACCCAAAAAAGCGAAACGCTAATAGTTACGACCAATTCCGAATGAGCAGCTTATTAAGCCAGGTACTAAAACTCTTCTTAAAGATAATTTACACAAGAATATATAACAGATGTGAAAGAGACATTAGCCCCATACAGTTCGGTTTCAGACAAGGATTTGGCAAGAGAAGCACTTTATAGCTTAACTGTCCTACTTCAGAAATGCAGCGATCAGCAAGAAGATGTCTTCCTATGCCTTATAGATTAATAGAAACCGTTCGACTGTGTTAATCATTCAGAATTAGTAAGATTGCTCCAGGAACGTTCGATAGATGAGAATGACCTTAAAATCATAAACAGCCTTTATATGAATCAAGTGGCATCTGTGAGAGTAAGACTGGAATCTATATCATATTTCTCAATTGAAAAAGGTATACGACAAAATTGTGTTCTGCCACTCCTCCTTTTTAATCTTTACTTTGAAACGATTTTCGATAGAGCCTTAAGTGACACTGCAGATGAAATCGAAACCAACGAACGAACGATTAGTAATCTTCGCTATGCTGATGATAGTCGTAATAGCTGATAACCAAGAAGCGCTACACCGACTAATAGATAGAATAAACACTGAAGGAGAACGACTGGGCTTTTTTTTTACTTAATTAGATGGCTTTGGTAAAGACCAATTAGTCAGAACGACTGGGCTTAAAGATTAATATAGACAAGACGAAGGTAATAGTGGTTAGTAGAACACGAAATATGCAATTAAATATAAGAGTAAACAATAAGTACATCCAAACGATCCCCAAGTTCAGATATCTCGGTAGTTGGATAACTGAAGATCTAGATTCAGACATAGAGATACGTAGCAGGATTGAGCAAGCCAGAACACCATTTACTAATATGAAAACCTTGCTAAGCAACAGCAGCCTTAACTGAACACTGCGATATCGCTTTGTAAAATGTTACATTTACTCCATACTGCTATATGGTGTAGAAACCTGGGCCATAAAGATCAATGTGATGAACCCATTGGAGGCCTTTGAAATGTGGATATTTAGAAGACTACTTAAAATTCCCTGGACAGATTACACAACAAGTGTCGAAGTATTAAATCGAATGGGCAGAGAACGAGAATTGCTGCCAATAATAAAAAGAAGAAACACTACTTATCTGGGTCATATATTTCGAAATTCCAAGTATCAGTTCTTAAAGCTTATTATGGAAGGGAAGATAGAAGGAAAACAGGGCATCGGAAAAAAGAAATACTCATAGCTTAAAAACATAAGGGATTCAACAAACCTCGATGCCCATGCGCTCTTTGGAGTCACACAAGATCGAGAGGAGTATGCCAAAATTGTCGCCAACATCCACTAATTGGATAGGGCACCATAAGAAGTAATTGTTCAATCGCGTTCGCTCATGCCGTCGTTCTGTTCAATTATACTACTTTTAACTGTACTACATTTATAGCCAATAATTTCGCTATTGCTTTGTCAATCTTGACTAAACTATTAAGATTTACAATGATTTGAATCAAACTTATCTATTATCTTCCTAAGCTTGTAGCGCCTCCTTCAAAAAAAAGATCCTAAATATTTTTCCTTTGCTCTTCTTCTAGTTCCATGACCGTTGTCGATCATTGGATATCATGTTGGCTACCATATTCGATATCGTGACTTTATTGACAGCAGCTCTAAATAACGATGTACTTGATTTTCCATACCATTGCCTTAGATTTTTCAGCGATGATGTTCTTCTTCTACCAACACCACGATTACCTTGGATCTTTCCCTGAATGATCAGATGTAAAAGATCATATTTTTCAGGGTGTCTCATAATGTGACCGAAGTATTCCAGCTTGCTTTTCTTTATTATATTGTGACCAGTTGTGTTGTTTGGTTCAGCCGTCTAAGGACCTCCTCATTTCTAACTCTGTCGACCCAGCTCTTTGCTCTTTGCTACAGTTGTTAATAATTAATTTAACCCGAAGTAGAAATGAATAATCCATGCTGATCAAATGAAGTCAACAGTCAAAAACTGATAAGCGATTTTTATAACAGGGACAACAAATATAACTCCGCCTGCAGTTTTGTTGGGTGGATCGATTAGTTCGATACAGCTGTTGTCGATTTTAAGGCCGAATAAAGAAGATGGGACTACAAGCAAGTTAGAATCTTACTGATAAAACTTTAAACCCATAAAGCTCGTAGAAATAGGATTATGCCTCAGGACAGGAATTATTTCAGTACGTCCAACGCAAGAAATAAGACAACGCAATTAACGAAAGCAAGAAATATACTTCCGATCGGTAGTATTGTGAAAAACCGGACTATTGTTGAATACTTCTTCGTTTTCTTCCCCTTTATACTTTATACCGTCACTCCATCTTTTGCACGGTCATCAGATACTTCTTCGGCCGATCGGGGACTTATCTCTTGCTATTTTGACGACAAGGGGCTCCTCTATTCTGCGTATGTGGTTATTTAATTCTTTTTTCCTTCCTTTTTTTACGTGGATATTTTTATCTTTTGTGTCCATTCATTTATACACTGTACGTTACATTTTCTTCTGTCTTCACTTCTCTTTCGATCTCTCAGCGTGTTTCCTGTAATTCTTCTCAGTACTCTGATCTCTGCCATTTCGAGTAGCCTTTATGTTGTGGCTGTGTCGGGTCTTGTTTCTGAAGCATATGTCATTATTGGTCTTACACTGGCTTTATAAATTCTTGACTTCATCTCAGTGTTAATGTGTCTGTTCCGCCATACCGCCTCAGTGTTATTAAGGAATGCTGTCAGTATATTTGCTTTTTGTACTTGATCTCTCACTTCTTTGTCCAGGTATATACTTTCAGGTATCAATACCTTTTTTTTTTTGTAAGTAATTGTTTTTGTGTAGAGTAATTGTCTTGATACTTAGCAAAGTCGACGTCATTGTCTTTGCTAAGAGACGCTAATTGTATCCGAACGTCTGCGGTCCC